GTGATCCTCCTGTAGCTAGGCCGAAGCAAGAGCGAAAGTCTGGGTGCCCGTCCGCCGGTGGCCGCTTGGGCCGGGCGGTGTCCCGGGTGTCCCGGGTGTCCCGGGCGTTTTCCCGTCCGCTGGTGGCCGGTTGGGCCGGGCGGTGTCCCGATTGTCCCGTCCCGGTATCGATATTGAGATCGACGTGGTGCCCCGAAGTTTCCTGTGGTGTCCCGTGGTGTCCCAGAAAGTGAGATCGATAGTGAGATCGATACTGAGATCGACAGGTATCCCGTGGTGTCCCGTGGTGTCCCGTGGTGTCCTGTTGAATGAGATCGATAGTGAGATCGATATTGAGATCGACGTGGTGCCCCAAGGTGTCCCGTGGTGTCCCGTGGTGCCCCAAAAAAGGAGATCGACAGGTGTCCCGCCGTGTCCCGTGGTGTCCCGTGGTGTCCCGTTGAATGAGAACGATAGTGAGATCGATGGTTAGATCGACAGGTGTCCCTCGGTGCCCCGTGGTGTTCTACGGTGTCCCATTGAGTGATATCGATAGTGAGATCGATCGGAAGTGAGGGGGTGAGATCGAAGTGGAACGGAGAGCCCCCCTACCGGGAAATCGATTTCGGTTTCGTGTTCGTGCGTGCCGTGCGTGCGGGCGAGGCGAAACTGCGTGGGCGGGCGAAAAAAAAGTCTCCTCCGGCTGAGGCGCGGCCGGATCAAATGATTCCTTTCTGGGGACCGGTGGCCCGCGGTGTCCCGGCGGTGTCCCGCCTCCGGCTGAGGCGCGGCTGGACCAAATGATTCCTTTCCGGGGGCCGGTGGCCCGCGGTGTCCCGCCGATATCCCGCCAGTGTCCCGTCGGTGTCCCGATGATGATGATGATGATGATGATGATGATGATGATGATGATGATGATGATGATGATGTCGATACTGTTGATGGTGATGATGGTAGTAATGATGATGGTGTCCCGATGATGATGATGATGATAATGATGATGATGGTGATGATGATGTTGACGATGTTGATGGTGATAATGATGATGGTGATGGTGGTGATGATGATGGTGTCCCAATGATGATGATGTTGATGATGATGTTGCTGGTGATGGTGATGATGGTGTCCCGATGATGATGATGATGATGATGATGTTGGTGATGTTGGTGGGCATGATGATGATGAGATGCTGATGAGGTCATGATGAAGATGGTGATGAAGATGGTGTCCCGATGATGATGATGATGATGATGATGATGATGATGATGATGACGATGAGGTTGATGATGATGCTGTTCATGATGATGTTGATGATGATGGTGTCCCCATTATGATGATGTTGATGATGACGATGATGGTGTCCCGATGATGCTGATGCTGATGATGATGATGATGAGGTTGATGAGGGTGGTAATGAAGTGATGATGATGATGATTATGATGATGGCGGCCCGATGATGGTGGTGATGATGCTGACGTTGATGATGACGATGGTGCCCCGATGATGATGATGATGATGATGATAATGATGGTGACGATGATGGTGGTGTCCCGATGATGATGATGATGATGGTGATGATGTTGATGATGATGGTGTCCCGATGATGGTGATGTTGATGATGTTGTTCATGGTGATGATGATGGGATGGTGATGATGATAATGATGATGATGATGTTGGTATTCCGATGATGTGCTGCTGATGGTGCCCCGATGATGATTTTGATGATGATGGTGATGATGATGGTAACCCGATGATGATGATGGTGCTGATGATGACGATGATGATGATGATGTGGATGATGATGGTGATGCAGTGAAGATGATGATGGTGTCCCGATGATGATGAGGATGACGTTGATGACGATAATGTTGATGATGGTGATGATGACGATGATTGCGAAATCGATTGTGACACCGATCTCGGGATCGATCGTGAGACCGAATGTGAGATCGATTGTGAGATCGATACTGCGATCGATAGTAAGATCAATCGATTGTGAGATCGATCGGATGAAATAGATCGAGTGAGATCGATTGTGAGATCGGTCGAGAGAGATCGATGGAGAGGGATCGATAGTGAGATCGCTAGTGATATCGATAGTGAGACCGATCGACTGAGTCGTTGGTTCCCCCCCCCGAACCCCCTTATCACCCGAAGAGTGGTCGTATAGGTAGTAAAACCGATAATGAGATCGAGAAGTGTCCCGCAATGTCCCGTGGTCGCCCGTGCTGGCACGTGGTGTCCCGTGGTGTCTCGTTGAGTGAGACCGATGGTGAGATCGACAATGAGATCGACACGTGCCTCGTGGTGTCCCGTCGTGTCCCGTTGAATGAAATCGATAGTGGCATCGGTAGTGGGATCGATACTGACATCGATGTGGTGCACCGAAATGTCCCGTGGTGTCCCGTGGTGTCCCGTTGAATGAGATAGATAATGAAATCGATGTGGTGTCCCGAGGTGTCCCGTGGTGTCCCGTAATGCCCCGCTGAATGAAATCGATAGTGAGACCTGTAATCAGATCAAGACATGTCCCGCGGTGTCCCGTGATGGCCCGTGGTGGCCCGTGGTGTCCCGTGGTGTCCCGTTGAGTGAGATCGATAGTGATATCGATACTGATATCGGCAAGTGTCCCGTGGTGTCCCGTGGTGTCCCGTTGAGTAAGATCGATACTTAGATCGATTGATTGTTCCCCCCTCTCCCCCCCCACAACCGCCGTATCACCCGAAGGGTGGTCGTGTAGGTAGATGCAGCGTGTTGTTTGCAATCTACGTGGTGCAATACATGTTGTGCAGTCGAACGTGGTGCAAAATTTGTTGTGGAATGGATTGTCTACAAACGAGTTGGCAAAGCCGACGGTCTTGCACACAGCCCACCCACCCACCCACCCGCATTTTGGTTTGCAAAAGCCCATGCGGCGGCGATTGCGAACAGTGCGTGGCGTTGGCTGGCGCGTCTCTGCAGCTGCGCTGGCCCGCACAGGCTCGCGTGCACAGCGGCCAACTAGTTTGGCGCGACCTGCGCGGCCGCGGTGTCACTGACCGTCTGGCACTTCCCAGCGGGTATTTCAATGCGAATCGGTGACTTGGGCGGGCGTGGAAGCTTGGTGTTTTCTATGTTTTCGGGGCACTCGATTGTGAAGCCCTTACGCAACACGTCGTCCCATCTTTCGCACGGGACTCTTATGCGGCAGCACGCGCGCAAGGGCTTCCGAACGATTTCGGCACGCGCGCGCGAAAGGCCAACTTGGAAGCATGTTCTAATGTTGATCAAAAACGTTGGTGTTCGTCGGAATTCGCAAGAGCGCGGGCGCAAACTTGTGTTTGGATGTTACGGTTGCAAAAACCACGTGTGTTATATGTTTTCGTGGCACTCGATTTTGAAACCCTTATGAATCGAATGTTTTTTGCACGATTCCGGAATGCGCGCGCTACGACGCGCGCGTGTGCCCTTTCGTCCCATATGTTGTACAAGCTTCTGGGAACATTTGATTTGTGATAAACAACGAGAGCGCGCATAGTATCTGCTGCAGAGGGTTGGCGCGGGGGGTGGTCGATACTGGCCTGGCTGGGATGGGACGAATTCATACCTAAGATGGACGATGGGGCAGAAACATACGCAAATTGCACAATACGAAAAGGGGCGTTTCAGTCCGGGGGGGTCGGTCCTAATTCTGTTTCAGATTTTTTCGACAAGAGCACATTTGTTGTACAACCAATGTGGGCCAGTCTACATGGCGCAATGGATTAATACAAACGAGTTCGCAGATTCGCCGCTCTTGCAAACATCCCACCCACCCACCCGCAATTTGGTTTGCAAAACCCAGCCGGCGGCGATTGCGATGAATGCTTGGCGTTGGCTGGTTCATCTCTGCAGCCGCGCTAGCCCGCGCACGCTCTCGCGCACAGCGGCCAGCCAGTTTGGCGCGACCTACGCGGCAGCGGTGGCGCTGACCTCTTGGCACTTCCCAGCGGGCACTTCGGTGACTGGGGCGGGCGCGGTATCATTGCGACGCCGACAACGGTAGGCACGCTTCTGAAAGTAGCGATGATGGTGACTGGCGATGACGACGGCCAGGCCAATGACGGCGCCGATGCTGATCACGCCCGCCGGTAACGATGAGGATGTCCTTGCGTCGGCGATGAAGTTTTTGAAGGATTTCGACATGCGTGCGCGGCCGACGCGCGCGAGTGGCCCGCGTGATATCACTTGACACGGATCGCGCCCCCCGCCCAGCACGCGCGCAAGGGCGTTCGAATCAGTTCGACATGCGGCGCGAGAGGCCCGTTTGGAAGAATGTAATGGAAATGCTGGAGAATCGATGGGTTTCTCAGCAAGCGCGCGAGCGCTGGACTTTTGAAGAACTGATCTTGCAAGACCGTGTGTGTGTGTGTTTTACATGTTTTCGGGGCACTCGATATTGAAATCCTTACGAAACCTAGCGTTCGTTTTGACTGACATTTGTTTGTGTATATATATATATATATATATATGTATATGGGAAATCGGCAAGCGCTCGCGACGAAGCGAGCGTGCGCACTTCGTTCTATCTGTTGCAAGGGATTATTGCGACAGCACGCGCGCAAAGGGGTTGGAACGATTTCGCCACGCGCGCGCGATGCCCAGCCAGGGCCACGCTGGGCCACGGCATGATGTCTCCTGACCGAGGGGAGGAGGAGGAGGAGGAAGAGGAGGAGGAGGAGGAGGAGGAGGATAAAATGGTATGCCACAAAGGTATGCACACCACCCTGGGGCCCAGCATTGATTGCCCTGGCCAGGCACGCAGGTGGTATGTACAGAAGACTGGCTCCTGCCGTGGCGACTGGTGCGCTGCTGTCCAAAGCCACGTGGGCTTTGCTCAACCTTGAACAATCGCGGCTTTCCGATCGCGCAGATCGCTCGATGTCAGCAGATTCCGAGCCACTGGCTGCGTTCACCTTGAACGCCCGCGCTGGGATCGCCGCCGCGGCGACCCGCGCGAACCCGCCGTAGTAGTGCCTGCGGCGGAACCCTCCCTGGGCGCCCTCGATCGTGAACGACAGCGAGCGGCCCGGCGAATCGGACTCCGCCGAGCAGAGGTTGAAGCGCTCGGCGGCCGCAGCGGCCGACGCTCCGCCTGGCCCGCGATGGGAGGAGAAGCAGCAGCAGGAAGGAGGGGCCAGGTCAACCAGCTTCGCGCATCGCACCCCGCGACGCACGACGCGCGACGGCCTTCACTCCATCGCGCCCTCGCACCGCCACCTTGGATAGTAGGCTGCCTCGAGCTTATCCATACCCCTATGCTGGACAAGCCCACAAGCGAAGACAATCGTAGAGACGCGCCCTAAGAAACTGCGAGAATCCTTAAGATCGGCGTCGAGGTAACGCGATGCCATTCACAGGAAAGGGATATGTTTCTGGCTGATAAGAGGGGAGCAATCGCTCTGGCCCAAACCTCGACGCACGAAACGCGATTATCTTCGCGACCCCGCGGGATACCCAGAAGGGGCCGGAGGTGGCAAGGCAAGGCACTGTCGAGACGTGTACATAAGAGTGCGGATCCAGATGAACGCCCACTTCGCCGAGTGACTGAGGCCCAATGGCGATACCAATGTAGAAAGCCGGAAGCCAGGAGCATTAAGAGCGTCCCAATCCAGAAAGCCGAAAGCACAAAGAACATGAACATCCGAAGCCTGGGTTGTTCTAAACCCTCGTGCCAGCTGTAAGGGTGGTCGGGTGGTCGGGAGTGTGCCGGCGATGACTCTGTAGGTTTCGTCGGCCACTGCGTGGGATCACTGACGCAAGGCCTGCGCTGTTGCAGCGCAGGACTCGCCCACTCCGCACAGCAGGCCGGCAGGAGGAAGCAGAGCGAAGCGAAGCGAAGGCCGGAGCCGTGCGCGCTCCGCTGAGGAACCCGCCCATGTCCATCAAGGCATGGCGCAGGATGCGGGAGGCAGGAGCAGACCCAGGTCGCCAAACTTTGACAGGACAAGGAGAAGGCCGCTGATGGGGCTTACTGAGCCTGCGCCCAAGAACTAATTAGGACCCCTAGGGAATATGCATTGCAGGCCCCCATGGTCTCTTCGCCAAGGGGCTGCCTGGGGCAAACAATCCTCGAGCCTGTCCCGAGGGTAGCGCTGCCCCGTCAGCAGGGCAGCCCTGCCTTTCGGGACGCGCGGCGTGCTAGGGGGAGGGGGGGACAGCCTAGGTGCACTAGCGTCATATCTAAAGTGAAGTCATACCGTGTCGAGGGCGCGGCGTTTTAATAAATTGAAAAGAAGTGCCTCGCGAGAGCGCGATTCCAGGGTAGATTGTGAGGAAATCCCGCGCGAGAGCGCAATTTGAGAATACATTATGAAGACGTATCCAGCGGGAGCCGCTGTTCTTTTAAACCGGGGGCCAGGGGCGCAATTTGCTGACAACTCACTATCCCGTGGAAGAAACATGGTGAGAGCCCCGGGATAATCATCTGAATTCAACACATGTAGTAATGGTTACCGGGGAGGGGGGCCAACAACAATTATTATGTGGAGATGAAAATTCAACAACAACAACAACAACAACAACAACAACAACAACAACAACAACAACAACAAAAACAAAAACAAAAACAACAACAACAACAGCAGCAGCAGCAACAACAACAGCAGCAGGAGCAACCCTCTGCGGAAGCCCATTTCAGCCACGCACCCAGTGACATTGAATGACAATTCGGCACCCTCATCCTGATATGTGTGAAAAAAGGTCACTATATGAACATATATATATACACACACCATACAAGAATGTGGCGGCCGATCTGGCTACTATCACTCGCCAGCTATACCGTCATATGCCCTTATATGTATATAGATATGCGAGTGGCCATACAGATGCACACACACACATCTATATTTACATAGAGACGATGCAATGGGCGGCCGTGCCCACGCAACTCGAGGCCCCAAGAGCGGAAACCAATGGGCAGCAGACCCCAAGATGGCGCTCAAACTGCCAAAAGAGGCCCCGAGGCAGCCCACTGGCGGCCAAGCATGGCCCAAGACAGCCGTCAAGAGGCCCTGAGGGTCCCAAATATTTCAAAACGTATTGTTGTTCGGAAAGCTTGGTTTTCTCGCACTTGTGTTTCTGGCGGGACTCCGAAGCTTCCACGCGGCACCGCAGACGCCCGAAACGGGCCCAAGTGAAGCGGATGAGGGCTCCAAGAGGGCTCCGAAGATCCCAGAGAACTCCCCGGGAGCGAACAAATGGGGGCCCCGCGAGTAGGATCATTGGGTGGCGGGCCCCGAGATGGCCCCTCGCAGCCCCAAGAGCCCTTTGTAGCCCCAAAGTGGCCCAAGATGGTTCAAGACAACCCCTACGACGCCCAAAGAGACCCCCGAGAGGCCCCCGGGAAGCCCCCAGAAACTGGCCCAAGGATTCCAGGGGCCGCCCAAAATGCCCCGAAAGCGCATGCACTGGCACAGTACACAATACACCAAAAACGGGGCGCAAATTTGGTGGGCCAAGCGACGGAACCAACCGACCAACGCGGCATGGACGACAACTGAAGCATCCAGAAATCGCAGGGCAGCCATCACTAAATCCCAAGAGAGGCTACAAACTGGCGAATGCATTCGCGAATTGCTCACGTAAGCAACTGCTCGAAGCTCCGCCAAAGCGCATTGCCGACGACCCCTGTGGCAACGGGCATCAAAACCCTGCTCACTCAAAGCCAAAGGGCCGGGGTCAAGGAATGAACCGTGCGAAGCTATGGCGCCACTGTGATGCAACGCCGTAAACTGAACGTGCCAGTCTGGCGGTGCAATGGGCGGATAGTACAAGGGAGGAGGAAGACACAAGTAATAACAAATGTTGTAGTTACGGCGCTGACGGCCGACAGCTGGGAATGTTTGCGCGGGGTGCGCGTCGTGAGTCTCTCTGTCAACATGCGTAACCCGCTGTACTGGACAATTCGCATTGTGCAAATGAGAATGCGATTGCCTAGTGCCCTCCCCCTATTCCCGCTACCCCCCCTATTCCCGCTACCGTTCTTACGCGGTTTATCATACTGTGTTTGCATGCCCGCCCTTGGCTATACGCCAGGCGGGACACGCGTGGGCCTGCGTTCCCCTTGCACGGGATGTCCTAGCCACTGCAAGTTCCACGTTGCGAACTCTATTTCTTGCGCGGTTGCGCGGGACGCATCGAAAACGGCTGCAACCAGTACAACGCCAACGCGTGCGAGGCGCGAGAATGCGCACCAATACAAATTTTAGATAATAAAATCAAGGGCCCCAGGGACATTCGTCAATCGACGTGCCTGGGAGGTCACTATTGAACTCGATATTGAATAGTGAATTCAATAGTGGAATCGATAATGAATTCAATAGTGAGATCGATAGTGAGATCGAAAGTGAGATCGATAATGCGACCCATAGTGAGATCAAGATTGACAGCGATAGTGAGATCGATCGTGAGATCGATCGTGCGTTCAATAACGAGATCGATAGTGAGATCGGTAGTGAGATCGATTGTGAGATCGATATTGCGATCGATAGTGCGATCGATTGTGATATCGATCGTGGAATCGGTAATGAGAACGATTGGGCGAGCCGCTGGTTTCTCCCCCCCGGACCTCCGTATCACCCGAAGGGTGGTCGTTTAGGTACATGAACACACGTATAGGGTGTTAGTTAGATGAATTCATACATAGCGGGAGAGGTAAATCGTGAGACCAGTCGATGTTCTGGTAGTAGCAATCGTAGAACAGGTGTGAACCCCTTTCATTGCGAGATCAATAAAACAAGTGATAGCGGGATCGGTGGATTGAAAGTAAGACCGACTAACAGAAATATAGAAAAACTGGTCATGAGATCGATCGATACAATGATCATGAGACCGACAGCTAGGCATACGCATGTTTTGGTGGTAAGGCCAAAGGATGGATACGAATACCGATAGATCTAGAGATCGATCGATGGATGTCGAGATGAATCGATGTTTCCCAAATCGGATCCAACGCCAATCGCAAACCGACAGCTATAAATTACCCATCCACCCCAAACCTCCGTATCACACAAGGGTGTTCATATGTGCATATTCCCCAATCGGTGCTTGCACTGAAGATTTGGCGAAAATACCAGACCGATTTCGGTGGGAGGCCAAGTTCCCAAATTCCCAGTTTCTGGCTCCCGGGTTCCCCGTTGCTGGTTCCGGACCGATTTCGGTGGGCGGCGGGGTTTCCGGGTTTCCGGGTTCGCGGATTCTTGGCCGATCTCCTTATCGATCGAAATCACCATCAATCTCACTACCCACCTCTCTACTGATCTCACAACCGATCCCACTATAGATCGCACGAGCGATCTGACGATCGATCTTACGATCTATCTCACTGAATCAACTTCACGATCGGTCTCACGAAGCGCGCGCTCAGGTTCTAGCCCAGGCTGGGAGCGCGCTAGAAGATCTTGGACAGCGCTATCAAGCACAGGCGCGTGACATAGTCGCGCCTCCTGAGGGCCTCTTGGGAACCTCTTGGGTCTTCGTGGGGGCATCTGAAGGGCTTCTGGAGGGTTCTCCGTGCTGCCTCACTTGGCTGTTGGAGGCACCTCTTGGGTGCTTTTCGGGGTATCTTGGGGCTTCGTGGGGCCCATTGGGGGCATCGCCAGGGTTCTTCGGGCAGTCGGAAAGTGATGTTCTGCAGTCTGAAGCAGTCAATTGGCCGTCTTGGCTGCGTGGAGGCCCAGCTTGAGGCCACATTGGGGCAATGCGGAAGCCTCTCGGGGTCTTCCTTGAAGCAATTTTGATACATCGAGAGTACTGTTCGGCTATCTTGTGGCCCCGTGTGGGGCCTGGTGGGGGGCTTTGGGGGGCCTCGTCGGACCATTTGGGGACTCTTGGGGCCTCCAGTGGGCCAGGGCGGAAAACTCTGCTGTTGGGTTCGCCCTCTTGGGGCCCTCTCGGGCCGTCTTGGGCGCCTCGGGCACCGTCTTGGGGCCTTCGTGGGCCGTCTTGGGGCCCTCTTGGAGGCCTCTTCGGCTATCTCGGAGCGGTCTTGGGGGCCACTTGGGCCGTCTTGGAGCGTCGGGATGCCAAAAGGCTGGGAACTCTAAAATCCACCAAAAGTCGATGGGAAAACAAAGCTTCTTGGAACCTCTTCGGCCTTCTGGGGAGCTTCTTGAGGGCCTCTTGGGTCCCATTTGGGGGCCTCTGGGGCTTCCTGAGAGCCTCTCGGGGTGGAAGGCTATGATTTTCGGTTCGTCTTACCCCTCTTGGGCCCCCCTTGGGGCCGTATTGCTGCCTCTCGGGCTGTCTTGGGCCCTGTTGGAGGCCTCTTGGGTTATCTTGGATTGGTCTTGGAGGCCTTTTGGGCCGTCTTGGAGCGTCAGGACGCCAAAAGGCTGAAAACTCGAAAATCAATCAAAAACCTATAGCAAGACATGGATGTTTGCCTCTTGGGGCCTTCGTGGGAGGCCTCTTGGATACTCTTCGGCCCCCTGGAGGGCTTCTTGGGGCCTCTTGGAGCCTGTTAGGGGCTTCTCGGGGCCTCCTGAGAGCCTCTCGGGGTGGAAGACTCGGATTTTCGTTCGGTTCGTGTCAACCCTCTTGGCTCCATCTTGGACCGTCTTGGGGCCCTCTCGGGCCGCCTTGGGCGCCTCTGGCGCCGTCTTGGGACCCCCGTGGACTGTCTTGTGACCGTCTTCGAAGCCTCTGGGGATGCCTTGGAGCAGAAAGTGAAGCCTCGTGGGCCGTCGTGGAGCGTCAGGAAACTCAAAAGGCGAGAACTCGAAAATCAATCAAAAACCAAGGAAAACAACTTAGTTGTGCCTCCTGGGGCTCCTTGAGAGCCATCTTGGAGATCTCTTGGGGCGTCTTGGAGGCCTCTTGGACAGTCAGGGACCAATTCTGGGGTGATCTCGAGCGGTCATTGGTCGTTTTCGTTGTCTGGAAACGCCAAATTCTGGCAATCCAGGGCCGTCTTCGGGCGACTTTACAAGGCCCCCAGCGCCACGGCAGGGCCCCCGGGCATCCCGGTTCGAGGGCCCCGTCCCGGGCCCCGCCTCGAGCCCGCGGCAGGGGGTGGGTGGGCCGTCTCGGCGCCCTCATGGGGGCCTGTTGGGGAGACATTGGGTGTCTGAAATCCATCAGAAACCTGGACAATCAATGATTTTGGCGTCCCTTTGGGCCGTGTTGGAAGCCTTGTGGGCCGTCCGGAGGCCATTTTGGGCGTGTTCGAACGATACGTCCTCGTTTCAGAGCCTCTTGGGGGCCTCTTACGGCCCTTTTCGTCTGAGTTGGGGCTTTCTTGGGCCGTCTGGGGGCGGCCCTGGGCTGTCTCGGCGCCCTCTTGGAAGCCTGTTTGGAAGATTTCTGGGTGTCCTGGACCGTCCTCCTTCAACGTCGGCGGCACTGGCCGTAAGACTTCCTGGGAACATGATTAGTTGGGGTGTCGTTGGGCGTCTCTGGAGGCTTCGGGGCCTGACGCGTTTCCGAGCGTGGCGGCAGGTAGCGCTGCTTGGGACTCTCGTTTTTTATCCTGGCAAGCGTTTAGGGAACATGGTTTGGGGAGAGGGCACAACCCGAGAATTATGTTCCCGGGAAGCTTTCCAGGAGCATGATTGTTCGGCTCTCTTAAGAGGGGGACCTCTGGGGGCTTACCGAGGGGCCTTTTTTGGCCGTGTCGGCAAGCCTATTGGAAACATGGTTGGGGCGGTGGGCGGAAGCCCAAGGAATCATGTTCCCGGAAAGCTCCTTGGGAAATACGATTTACCGAGGTCTCTTGGGGGCCCGCAGGGGGGCTTCCCTGGGGGGCCCTTGGGGGCATATTGGAGCTTCTGGGGGGCCTCTTGGGAGCATCACGGGGCTTCTTGGGAGCCTCTTGATGGCCTCCGGGGGCGTCCCTTCTTGGGTAGAGCCCCTTCCTGATTCTCGAGAGGTTCTCCCTGCCTTTCCTGGTCTCTCCAGGGCAGAGCTGTCGCAGATGGCGGAAATAAACAATCGGAAAAGTCAACTGAAGGAGAAGGAGGAGGAGGAAGAAGGAGGAGGAGGAGAAGGAGGAGGAGGAGAAGGAGAAGGAGGAGGGGGAGAGGGAGGAGGAGAAGGAGGAGGAGGAGAGGGGGAGAGGGAGGATAGGGGGAGAGGAGGAGAGGAGGAGGAGAGGAGGAGAGGAGGAGAAGGAGGAGGGAGGAGGAGGGGGGGGAGGAGGAGGAGGAGGAGGTTTTGTTTTCCTCCGCGGGGGCACTCACCTCTGAGGATTCGGGAGCAGCATCGAGGGGCTACTGCTCTGCCTGGAACGTACCTCAGGCACTTTGGGACCCAGGGCCGAGGAGGATGAGGGAGGAGGAGGTGGAGGAGAGGAGGAGGAAGAGAGGAAGGGGGAGGGGGAGGGGAGGAGAGGAGGAGGGAGGAGGAGGAGGAGGAGGGAGGAGGGGGAGGAGGAGGAGGAGAGGGAGGGAGGAGGAGGAGGGGGGAGGAGGAGGAGGAGGAGGAGGAGGAGGAGGAGGAGGAGGAGGAGGAGATGAGGGGGGAGGAGGAGAGGGAGGGAGGAGGGGAGGAGGAGGAGAGGAGGAGGAGGAGGAGGAGGAGGAGGAGGAGGAGGAGGGGGAGGGGGAGGAGAAGGAGAAGGAGGAGGATTGGTTGTCCTCCGCGGGGCCAGTCACCTCTGAAGATCCGAGAGCAGCATCGAGGGGCAACTCCTCCGCCTGGAACGTACCTAAGGCACTTGGGGCCGAGGAGGAGGAGGAGGAGGAAGAGGAGATGGAGGAGGAGGAGGAGGAGGAGGAGGAGAAGAAGAAGAAGAAGAAGAATAAGAAGAAGAAGAAGAAGAAGAAGAAGAGCGGCGGGAGGAAGAGCAGCAGGAGCAGGAGCAGGGAGCAGAGGCAGCCGCCCTCCAAGAGCTGACGGATCCGCCATGGCCGCGGATGGCAGAGGGGCGCAAGCCTTCGGAGCCGTCAGAAACCCTTGAAAACATGCACATGCCGATGGACACCGTTGAGATCGGCCAGGAGTCTCCGAAAGCCTTCGAGAACACTCCCCATCCCACTCCTCCCTCGCCCATCCTGAGGCTTCCGATGGCTTCGGGAGACATCCGCAGGCTGCTGGCAATCTTCGAAGTTTCTGGCGAGATCGAGGACTCAAAATTTGGACGCCCGACGTGGGCACGGAAAAACACGGGCACAATGCCACAAACAACTGTTATTCAAAACCGAGAGCGGTCGCTGCTGGGCAGGCGAAATGGACAACGTGCGCTGCGGGGCCAACAGCGAGCCCTGTTCAAAATGAACAGGAACTGCTGTTGTCCAGCGTACCCAACCTTTCCGTACCCATGCCGTTCGTGCCGACAAGAGGTTGTCCGCTCTCTGCCGACCGCGGCCATGGCGGATCCGTCGGCTTTCTGGAGCGGCCCTGGGCATACTGCCTGCCGCCTGCTGCTGCTCCTGCTCCTTCGGCTGTTCCTGCTCCTGCTCCTGCTGCTCTCCTCTCCTCACGGTTACAAATTACTGATGGCCTGAGGGTTCGTCGAACGCGTTCTCCCCGCTCTCCTCCTCCTCCTCCTCCTCCTCCTCCTCCTCCTCCTCCTCCTCCTCCTCCTCCTCCTTCTCCTCTCCCCTTCCCTCCACCCCTCCCGCCCTCCCCCCTCCCCCACTCCTTACCCTCCTCCCACCACCACCACCCTCCCTCCTCCTTCCCCTCCGCCCACCCCCCCTCGGCAGCAGCAACGTAAGCATCCTCAGCAGCAGCACCCTCCTCCCCGTCCCCCCCGGGCCGCCCTCGATCGTGAGCGACAGCGAGTGCGCCAGCGAGTCGGACTCCGCCGAGACGAGGCCGCAGCGCGCGGAGGCCGCGGAGGCCGACGCCCCGCCTGGGCCAGAGAGCAGCGAGGAGCAGCGAGGGGGAGGGAGGGAGGGGGGATCTGGACGACCAAAATGGGCACGGAAAGAATGGGTACAATGCCCAACGACAATTGTCCCAAACCAGCAGCGGCCGCTGTTGGGCAGGCGGCCTTCTGTCTCAGATGGACACAGGCCGCGGCGTCACCGACAGCGAGTCCTGCTCAAAATGAATGGAACTGCTGTTGGGCATCGAACCCTTTCTTCCCGTACACATATCATTCGTGCCGAGAGGAGGGCCCAGCGTAAGCGCAGGGCGAGGAGCACGAGGGAGAGGAGGGGGGAGGGAGGGAGGCTTCGGAGGCTCTGCCCCGCCGCGCAGCGACATGGATACACACGATGCCCCCTGCACCTGCAAAAGTGCTGCTCTGCTGCGCCTCTGGGTGCGATCGGCGTTGCTGAGAACCTTGGGCCGGGACCCCGCAGGAGTGCATGCTGCACACACGCCCTCCCTGAGACTGCGAGGGGGGGCTCGTCGCACTCATCCCCGAGCTTGCCCAGAGCATCGGGGCGGAAGACATGGGCGGAGAGTCCGCCGGCCCCCGCTTGCGGGGTGTGGCAAGGCGCGTGAGACGTTTGGCTGCCCCGTCCCTCTTCCCCCCCTTCTCCCCAGGGTCCAACATGCCGTTTGGGGTGGGTGGTCCGGGAACTCCCCCCGCTCCTCCTGGGCCATCGGTCCACCCGCGGCATCCAAAATGCCCACGATGCCTTCTCAGATTTGAGCAGGGACTGGCCGTACCGGCATTCCAATAGGCCTACAACGAAATTCTCTTAGAACCCAAAAAACGCTCGAATAACAAAACCCTGTTCTTAGAACATGAACCCGATGTGTTAAAACAAGATCGTCGCCAGAAATGTTATAAGAACATGTTGTGGAAACCACAACAGGCTCTTAGAACATTGCTTGGTAGGCCTATAGGCACGCAAGGACGCTTCGCCACTGCTTGATAGATGGCTCAAAAGATGTCTCGAGAACACCGAAGATGGTCTCAAGACGGCTCAAGAGGCCCCCAAGACGCGCCAGGACGCCCCAAATGGGCCCCAAGGAAATCCCCAGGAGGCCTCAATACGAAAACATCACGGATTTTCCGCTGGTTTCTGAACCGATTCGCGTCCTCGCTTTTTCGGGTTCACGGAAGTCCCAGGCCGCTCGCGCGGACCCCCCACGCAGCACCATGACGGCCCAGGAAGACTCCAGGAGGTCCCAGAGATGGCCGAAGAGGGCCCAGAGACGGCCCAAGCGGCCCCCAAGACGACCGAAGAGAGAAAGACGAGGAGGATGCGGAGGAGGAGGAGGAGGACGACGAGGAGGAGGAGGGGGGAAGAGGAGGAGGAGGAAGAGGAGGAGGAGGAGGAGGGGGAACTCGCAGGGGCCCCGGGATCCCTCACCCACAAGATGACCGCCCCTCAGATCCCCAGCATGCCCCCAACAGGCCCCCAAGAAGCCCAATGAGACTTAAAAATAGGGAGCCCATAGAGAGGACGTACGCGCCCAACCATGTACATGAACACGGCCCCTCGATCCGCGAGACCGGCCGCGTGATACGAACATTCGAGCAATGCGTACTCTCGAAACCGATGTGGATTCATGCACGTGCACGTCCTTCTCTCGCTCCCGACAAAAAGAGGCTCTCGCGAGGCCGCCCCGGAGGCCTCCAAGAGGCCCCGAAGAAGCCCCGCAACATGACGCGGAGAAACAAATCAGCAAAAAACGCGAAATCGGCGCGGATGGAAGCGGCCAAAACGGGCACGGGATCGGAAGCCGCGCCTATCCTCTTCTGTCACCGAGCGCGTTGAACTCCTCGCAGAGTGCCTACTCGCAAACGTCCGAAGAGCACCACTGACCTGGACAGGAGGGGCGGGGAGCGGTCAGAGCGTCCAAAACGGCCTCGGCGAGGAAGCCAAAATCATTGATTTTAGCAGGGTTTTGGCCCCATTTTGGCCTCCTGGGGGGGCACAACGCTAATTAAAGCTCAGCTCTTCTTTGGTAGATCTCCTCCAAGATGGCACAAAGAGGCGCCCAGGAGGCCCCAAGAGGCCCCAAGATGGCCCCAAGAGGCCCCCCAAGAGGCCCCCAGGAGGCCCCCAAGAGACCCCCAAGAGGCCCCAAGAGACCCCCCAGAGGCACCCAAGGTGCTCCCAGAGGCCTCGGCGATAATGTCAAACCATTGTTTGCACGAAAGTTTTAGCCACATGTTGGCCTCTTGGGGGGGGCACTGATTAAGATGACTCCAAGAGCGCCTCGGAGAGCCCAAAATGACCTCCAAGATGGCTCAAGAAATCCCAAGATGTCTCATACTGGTTTCCTTTGTGTGCTGTCCAGTTCCCTGATCGAGGCAATCCCACCAGCCCTCGGGGCGTCGGTGGTTTAAGGCGTTTCCTCTTCCACCCTTCACTCTTTCCCTTCGGGGAGGGGTTTACCCCTCCCCCTACCCCCTCCCCGTGGACCTGGACGGGGGGGGCCGCGAGCGGTCAGAGCGTCCAAAACGGCCTCGGCGAGGAAGCCAAAATCATTGACTTTACTGAGATGTTGGCCCCGTTTCGGCCTCCTGAAGGGGGCAAAGATGGCCCCAAGAAGCGCCCAGGAGGCGCCCCAAGAGGCCCCCATGAGGCCCCAAACAGGATCCCGAACGGCCCACAGAGGCCCCCCCGAGGCACCCAGACGCCGAAAAGCCCCTCAGGACGACCCTCTACTCGCCGCCTGGGCGTCGTTTCTGGACGGGCTGGTGGGGATACGCGAAGCGTTTCCCCACCAGCCCTCTGGGCGTCGGTGGTTTATGGCGTTTCCTCTTCCACCCCTCCCTCTTCCCCTTCGGGGAAGGATTTACCCCTCCCCCTACCCCCTCCCCGCTGACCTGGACAGGAGGGGCGGGGAGCGGTCAGAGCGTCCAAGATGGCCCAGGACGGCTCCAAGAGGGGCCCAAGATCGCCTCCAAGATGGCTCAAGATAGCGCAAGATGCCTGAAGATGGTTCAGAAGACGCTCCAACACGTTCCAAGACCGCTCCAAGATGGTTTCAAGCGCCCACAAGAGCACCATTAGAGTGCCCTCAAAAGGCCGAAATGCTTCAAAACCCTAGGGGAATCCATGTTTGTGGTGTTTTCACTCTTTCGCTCCCGAAGCCCATCCGAGGCCTCAAGATGGCGCCAAGATGTCTCAACTGGGCCCCAACAGGGGCCCAAGAGAGCCTCAAGACTGCCTCAACAGCGTCCAAGAGCGCTCCAAGAGCGATCCAAGAGGGGTCCAGGAAGCGACTTTAGACAGCCTGGAGGGACAGCGCCAATTAAAGCTCTGCTCTTCTTTGATAGATTTGCTCCAAGATGCCCCCCCCCCCCCCCCCCCCCCCCCCCCCCGAGCGCCCTGATGGCGTCTAAAAGGACCCCAGACGCCCAAAAACTGCTCCAAAATAAATTCAATCAAGCGCTCGCGCGGGACGCGAAGCCCAGAATTCTGCGAAAACACATGCAAGAGCAACCGAAACGATCAAATGCTTCTCACAGAAATATGTTATTCTGCCTGCACATCCGTACTCGACGCCTCAATTGCTCTCATTGTTCCAGACGGAAGCTAAGAAAAGCGTCACGTCCGACTGCTGTTGCAGGAGATCGCGGCAAGGTCGAAAATACATCGGGAGCTTTCATTTTTCTCCAAATGCCTCATCAGTGGTATAACGTGAAGGAAGGACCGTGCGATACATAAGCACACAATATAAGATGTACTACGCCGAACGGCAAAGATGCAACAAGCTGCGCCGAGCGCGAACTACATGGGAAAAGAATGGGCTGCAGAAGCGCCAACGTCGCGCTACGGGCACCGCGTGATTGAAAGACTCGCTGCTCCAAACTCACTGAGACTGGCGCTGAATTGAATTGACGTGATTTGAGCCGTTCAGAGCTGGGTTCAGCTCGGGCTCACGCCCCAGAGAGCGAACAAACAAAATCGACTAAAAAGGCAGCGCAGCAGGTCGTCACGGCGCAAACCGCCGAAGACCTCAAAAGGAGGGCAGGTGCTTGAAGAGGAGAGGAGCGGAGAGGCGACGCCTCAACAAGTGGATCAACGACCATCCATCATTCAGAACGGCTCAGTACAACATGTAGAACTAATCCCACCAGCCCTCTGGGCGTCGGTGGTTTAGGGCGTTTCCTCTTCCACCCCTCCCTCTTCCCCTTCGGGGAGGGGTTTACCCCTCCCCCTTCCCCCTCCCCACTGACCTGGACAGGAGGGGCGGGGAGCGGTCAGAGCGTCCAAAACAGCCTCGGCGAGGAAGCCAAAATCATTGATTTTAGCAGGGTTTTGGCCCCATTTTGGCCTCCTGGGGGGGCAACGCTAATTAAAGCTCAGCTTTTCTTTGGTAGATCTCCTCCAAGATGGCTCAAAGAGGCGCCCAGGAGGCCCCAAGAGGTCCCAAGATGGCCCCAAGATGGCCCCAAGAGGCCCCCAAGAGGCCCCCAGAAGGCCCCCAAGAAGACCCTCAGAGGCCCCAAGAGGCCCCCCCCCCCCGAGGCACCCAAGACCCCGAAGAGCCCCCCAGGATCGCCAAGAGACCCCCAAGACGTCCCAAGAGGTCCCCAAGAATCGCCTAAGAGATACTCCAAGAGGCTCCTAGAGGCATCCAAGAGACCTCTGGCCCTTGTGCTTGCCCTCCTCCTCCTCCTGTTCCTCCTTCCTGCTCCTACTCCTCCTCTCCTCCTCCTCCTCCTCCTCCTCCGCCTCCTCCTCATCCTATTCATCCTCCGTCTTCCCACTCCCTCATCCATCCATCCATCCACCTCCTCCTTCTCCTCCTCACTCCTTTGCACGGTTCGGCCGTCACCCTCTTTGCTGCCGCACTTCCCTGATCACCTCAACTCGCCTGGACATCGTTTCGGGATGGGCTGGTGGGGATAAGCGAAGCGTCTAGAATTACCTCGGGCGCGCCGCTCGAACAGGGATTTGCGCGCGACGCCCCCGTCGCCCCGGATTGCCCCCCTGGAAAAAAGGAAACATCAGCTCCCGATCTTGAGTGAAGGGGGGTCGGCTGGGTGTCGGCTGGGGAAACCACAAGATATCGATACCGCTACTCCCTTGGACCTCTCCTGGGGTGAGTTCTGACCAGAATCTCGAAGCGAATCCAGCGGTGGCGACGAGGGCCTCCAGGGAGGCCCCAGGAGGGGAAAGCGAGGCGAGGGCAGCGGCGTCGGTACCTTTGCTCTCTCCGATCAGCGGAGCGGGGCTAGCCTCTTGAGCGAAGGCTGGCGGTGCGCACAAGGGGGTGGAGGGAGGGGGGGAGGGCTTCTTAGAAGGAGGCTGCTTCTTAGAAGGCGCCGGCCTTACATCAATGGAACAAGCCCGCGCCTTCTACGAGCAGGGTGGGCATCGGGCGAGACGGGGGAGGGAGGGAGGGAGGGAGGAGGGAGGGAGGAGGGAGGGAGGGGGGGAGGGAGGGAGGAGGGAGGGAGGGAGGGAGGGAGGGAGGAGGAGGAGGAGGAGGAGGAGGAGGAGGCGGAGGAGAGGAGGAGGAGGAGGGAGGTGGGGGGGCAGCGAACCAGCCGCACGCAGCTGGCTTCCCCGCCCTCCAGGGGGTCGCCGGGAGAAAGCAGGGCGCCCGTGCCCCGAGGGGGGAGAGGAGGCCCGGCGGCGGAGCCGAAGCGGGCCGCACGCAGCGGGTTTCGCCACGCCCCCCTTCCCAAAGTACGAGGACGAGGACGAGGACGAGGAGGAGGAGGAGGAGGAGGAGGAGGAGGGGGAGGAGGAGGAGGAGGAGGAGGAGGAAGGAGGCAGGAGGAGGAGGAGGAGGAGGAGGAGGAAGAGGAGGAGGAGGAGGAGGAGGAGAGGAGGAGGAGGGGGAGGAGGATGAGGAGGAAGAAGGGAGGAGGAGCAGGAGGCGGGGCCCCTCCACAAGAAACCGTCCACGAGCAACCCAACCCTGAGACCACAGGGCGTCCAACGACGTTTGGCGTGGGAACGTCACGCTTTCCACCGCCCACCGCAAAACCGTCAAAACCCAAGAAACCGAGGGCACCCTGGAGGCAAGCAGGGTGCTTCTTGGCATGGGCGCCCGAGTCCCCTCCGCCTTGCCAGTAAGCTCGCTTATCCTCCAGCACTGGGACTAGGGCTGAGAGCAGGAGGGCGGCAAACCCCCTCTGTCCCCTCTGGGACACTCTGTCATACCCCGCCCTCTCCCTTCCCTCCTCCCCTTCCACTGGGGCCTCCGGACGTCCTGGGAGGTCTCCAGAGGCCCCCTAAGGTCCCGAAAAGCAAAAAACAGACAAACAAACAAAACGTTCGAAAAGTGCGCGGATGCTCAAACATACCCTACCGCCTTCCCCTCCTCCAACTCCTCCTCGCCCTCCTCATCCGACTCCTCCTTCTCCTGCTCCTCCGACTCTTCCAAAACGACTACTTCGACGACATCGACGTCGTCAGTCCCCCACCAGGGGGGGGGCGCCCAGAGTCGGGGGAGGCGTAAGACTCGGGTTCGGGGGACTCGGGTTGGCCTGACAGGGCCGCCAAGAGAGTGACGAGGCCCAGTCTGGAATTCGGCGCGAGCTCCCCCGCTGCAAGCATCCCACGAAAACTGGACCGTCCAAATCCAGGACTCCCCGAATCTACTTAGACGAGCGCGTTCCACTACTCGCAGACGTAATTACTCGCAGATGGCCTGGGTTCGCCGCGGAGGATGTACGATCATGGAGGCAAACGCGTGCTCTTCAGACGGGCGCCCAGAATAGACCAGCGCGTGCCACTATTCGCAACGTCGCTGCTCGCAAGCAGCCCAGATCTGCCGCGGGGGATGTACGATCCACTTCATCAAGGCAGACGCGTACTCTTCGGACGTTTGCGAGTAGGCACTTTGCGAGTATTGGAACTAGAGGCATCCTTGATGGGGTCGGAGTACTTCTGGTCGGAGGATCGCGCCGCATCGCCGATACATGGGCGATGTCGGCTATGCATCGGCGCCGCCGGCGTGGAGAAAATCGGGCTCCACATCGAGCCGCATGCTAGTAGGCCCGATCGAGGGGCCAGCAAGCCACAGAGCAAGCCCAGGATTCGGCCCGATCGCGCCAGACTCGAGGGGATTCCATCGGGACCGAACCAGATTAGGCCGTGTTTCGACCACGGAAATTCGCAGCTCCGACGCCAGCAACGGCAGCGACAGCGCCAGCGGCATTCAGCCACTCGCCGCTGCCGAACCCCGAAACTGGACCGCTCTGTGGCCGCCGAACCGAACTAGCCGAAACGGCCAGAACGACCACACCGAAACCTTTAAAACTGGCACGCCGCCGAAACCGACCAGGCCCGCCACTGAACTGGACCGAACCGACCCGACCCAGCGCCGATGCTGGGCTTGACCTCCCCGGAGCACCAGCGCCGATGCTGGACCGAACGAGAGGCGTCCTAGATAAGGTCCGAGTATTTACATGGGGTAGGAGGATCGCGCCGCATCGCCGATGCATCGGCGATGCATCGCGAACACATCGAATGCATCGGCGCCGCTGGCGTGGAGAAAATCCGGCTCCACATCGAGACGCATCGCCGATGCATCGGCGATGCGGCGCGATCCTCCGACCCCATCTACTCGGACCCCATCTGGGAGGCCCAGACGAAACGGCCCGAACCAGCGCCGACTCTGGACCGAACCGACCCGAACCAACGCCGATGCCGGACCCCAAATGTATGATCTTTTCTTGACGTCGACCCCCAGAGGTCTCGGCCCTTTCCCCAGGACCGGTTTTTCTGAAGGGGCCCTGGGACACACAAATAAATACAAACAAATAACAGGATTCCCCATAGTTTCCCATATTTTCTGGGTGTGCGTCGTCCCCCCCACTTCCCATATTTTTCACTATTTTCTGGGGAGTCGACGCTTAATTGTGTCTGTGTGTTTTTTCCCTCCTGGACTTCGCCTCTGGCTCCTGTCCAAGGCGTACCTTTTCCTGTGCAAGCTCTTCGGTACCGCCTGCACCCCGCGCCCTCCAGCCGCCTGAGGCCCCGCCCGCCCGCGCCGTCTCCCCAATTAGTGCTTTGCGCGCCCCGCCTAGCTCTTAACCGAAGAGGCCCGCTCTCGACCCGCAGACCAAAAAGTTGTTCCCCCCTGATTTTCATCCTGAGTCTTCTTGTGAGGGTCCCGAGGCGCGGTGAAGGCCCGGAAAACCGTCCGTCGTGATTATTGTCATGACTCGAGGGGGTCTGAGGATGCTGGGCCGAACCGACCCCGACCAGCGCAGAGGCATCCTGACAGAGAGCAGCGGGCAGCGCCGGGCGGGCGGAGAGGAGGCTTTCCCGAGGGGCGGAGAGAGGGAGGAGCGAGGAGGAAGAGGAAAGGGAGAAGGCGGGAAGCGAGGGAAAGGAGGAGGAGGAGGAGGAGGCAGGAGGAGCAGGAGGAGGAGGACGAGGAGGAGGAGGAGGAGGAGGAGGAGGTGGAGGAGAAGGAGGAGGAGGAGAAGGAGGACGAGGAGGAGCAAGAGGAGGCAGGAGGAGGCGGAGAGCTCCTGCGCGGAGGCTCAGCCCAGCGCGCGCGGCGCCGCAGTCGCGGGCGGCGTGGCCGCCGACCGGGCTGCCGCGCCCGGGCGCGGCGGCGGCGGGCCTCGCAGGGCCCGAGGGGGGGGGGGCGGCTCGGTCCCCAGGGGGCCCAGGCAGGCGCAGACAGGTGTGCCCCGGAGCTTTTCCACACGTCTCTGTTGGGGCGCGTCTCGTCCCCTCCGTCCCCCGCAGATATGTTCCCATGTGTTCCCACATGTTTCGAATGGTCTTCCTCTTTCCCTCCATCTCTCCGATACATATATATATATATACAGATATCTATATGTATATATATATATACATATATACATATGTGTGTGTGCCCTCAAATGCGTGTGCCTGTGTTTCTGTGTCTGTGTGTCTGTGTGTGTCTGTGTGTCTGTGTGTCTGAGTGTATGTGTGTCTGTGTCTGCGCCTGTGCCCGTGTCTGCGTGTGTTCCTGTCTGCTTTCACGAAACGCAGCGTTCAATTGCGTCCGTGTCCTCTTGTCCCCCCGCTGGGGTGTGACACGGTTCGGGCCGTCTCGGGGCCGTCGTGGCCCAGCCCGGGCCACGACGCGTCGGCCGCGGCCCATCAAGTGGAACCCAGCGCGCCCCTCCTACTGCGGGCGGGCCCTGCTGGCGCCCCCGAGGCCGACCTGCGGCGGGAGCGCGCGCGGCGGGCGGCGCGGCACGCGGCCAGCCGCGCGACGGCGCAGCCTCCGCGCGCGCGCGCGAGCGGCGGCCCAGGCCAACACGGCTTGAGCCAGTAGTGTTAGGTCTGCCATGTTCCCCCTACAGGCGGATTTTGAACGGAAAATTAAAACTAGCCTCCCCCCAAAAAGATATTCAAAAATAGTAACAAAAAATCAAGAAAACTCGTCCCCTGACTTCGTTTTGCTATTATTGGATCTTCCTCCTGTAGAGGGACGTGCCCGACTTAACAACAGTGGTACCCTTAGGTCGGGCGTGTCCCCTACAGGTGGATGTTGGACGAAAAAAACAAAATACCACAACAACAAATAAAAACAACAAGAAAAATCGTTCCCAACTATTGTTTACTAATTTTGAATATTCCCCCTGTAGAGGGACAGGCCCGACTTAGGGGTACCCCTTCTCCACTCCGGCGACTGGCGGCCCTCCTCCGATGCGGCACGTGCTTGCGACGAGTGGCGGCGCGCACAGGGGGGTGGAGGGAAGGGGGAGGGCTTCTTAGAAGGAGGCTGCTTTTGAAAAGGCGCCGGCCTCACATCTACAGCCAAGGCCCGCGCCTTCTAAGAAGCAGGGAGGCTTCTAAGAAGCCATCCCCCTCCCCCTACCCCGACCCCCCCCCCGCGCGTGGCCGAACATGGGCAGGGCGTTGGACGAGGAGGAGGAGGAGGAGGAGCATGGGAGGAAGAGGAGCACGGGAGGAGGAGGAGCACGGGGGAGCAGGAAGAGGAGGAGAAGGAGGACGACGAGGAGGAGAAGCCCTCCCCCCACCCCCCTCTGCGCGTGGCGCCCCCCCTCCGACGCGGCGCGCGCTTGCGACGAGGCCGCCGCTCGGCCGCCGCGGCGGGCCGCTCGGCCGGCCACCGGCCGCCCGTGCCGGGCCGCGCCTCCTGCAGGCTGCCCTGCTCGGCGCCGCCTGGCGGCGCGCGCGGCGGCCCGTCGGCGGGGGGGGGACCTCAGATCCTGGCGCCTCCCTTGTAAGTCGCTCAATCTTACTCGGCTCGTCTCCTGACACCTGCATTGGGCCATCGGCGCCATCCTCGTCGACTAGATCGATAGCGCCCAGTGCCTCCGCGCGTTGTTCTGCCGCCCCCTCTGCAGGTGCGGGAGCGGCATGCCCCCACATCCAACGGCATGGCCGAAGTATGCGGGAGCCGGTGGCATTTTGTTGGCGATCCCGGTTGGGCCAGTCTTCCAGCCCCCCCGGCTCGCCATCTGAGGCTCATAGTAGAAATAGGTAATGACGTCCCTGCCGTCGAGGTCGGCTCTCTGAGGCACGCCTCCGCAGTGGTGATCAGAACGGTCCTCTAAAACTCCGTCCACATATGAGTCTTCCGTCATCACTTCGTGCGAGTGCAGGTCCAGGGTTGCGCGGTGCCTGACAGCCCGGAGCGGGGGGCCACCCGCTTGCTCGGGGTCTGCCAGGTTAGACCTTACATCTCTCCAAAACCTTCGAAAAATTGACGAGTTCGGCCTCTTGAAGCGCTCTCGAGAGGCGTCTTGAAGCGTCGTGGAGTGCCTTGGGGGGGTTTCTCGGACCATCTTGGGCCTATCTTGGGCGTCCAGGAGCGGTCTTTCGGCGACTCGGGGCCCGCTTGGGCCGTCTGGGGAGCCTCTGGAGGCCCTCCTGGACTATTTTGGACCTCCCCGGCCGCCCCGTCCTGCCATGGGGGGTCGGGGCAGCTGTTCGTGGGCCGTCCTGGATCTCTCTGGGGCTGTATTGGGGCCCTCTGGGGCGCGTCCTGGGCCAGACCGACAGCGAAAACAAGCAATAAGCAATATGTTAAAAATATACGTTTTACGAAGGGAATGGGGCTATTTTGGCCCCTTGGGGCTCTCTTTGGGGCCCTATTGGGAGTCGCTTGGGGTGTCTTGGGGGCTTCTAAAGCCGCCTTGGAGGCCATGTTGGGCGTCTGGGAGCGACCTTCGGGCGCCCCAGGTCTGTTCTGGAGCCTCTTGGGGCCTCCTTGGCGCCTTCTGGCGGCCTTCTGTAAGGCCCCGGGGCTCCCCGAGGGCTCCGGGGCCCACATTTGTGGTAGCGGCGCCGGCCCCAGGCGCCCGGACCCGGTGCGCCGTTATGTGTGCGTATATATATATATATATATATATATATATATATATATGTGTATATGTATATATGTGTGTGTATACGGCGGCAGGGAGCGCATGGTAACGACTCAATGTTTGTGTGTTTGTGTGTGTTGTGTATGTTTGTTTGTTTGTGTGTTTGATAGTGTGTGTTTGTTTGTTTGTTTGTTTGTTTGTCTGTCTGTCTGTCTGTTTGTTTGGTTGTTTGTTTGTTTGTGTGTTTGTTTGTTTGTTTGTTTGTTTGTTAGTTCGTTTGTTTGTTTGTTTGTTTGTTTCGCTATGTTTTCTCGTTCCGCTTGTCCTGTTCATCGGTCGTCATCTGATTATTTGGCGTTGTGTTTCTCTTGTTATGTATGTGTGTGTGTTTATGTATATGTACATTTTATCGAATGGCCGTCGGCCCATCCCGCCATCGTGAGCCGTTTGCGGGCACAACGCGCATTGGATGCTCGTTGGGATCTCGCGGGGGGGGGGGGCCCAGGGGCCTCTTGAGGGCAATGTTGAGGCCTCTTGGGGGCCGTTGTGGGGCCTCCCGGGGGCCTCTCGGAGCCTGTTGGGCGAATATCGGGGGCCTCTTGGGGCCTCCCGGGGGGCCATGAGTATTCCCTGCCTGGGACCACCCTCGCATCGCTCATCGCCGATTTCGTAGATGTCCCTCGGTTTCTCCTGATCCGAAGCCCATCTTTCGGGACCCGCGTGGCGAACTGGAATCTACACTGGTTTCAGACATCGCGGTCTTCTGTCGATGCTGCATGATGCTCGGAGTAACGGCAGGAGCGCCCCTCGCTGTCTCGACCTGCCTCCATGCGATTCCATACCGTCGACCACCTCACGCGCATGCCCGAATAC